CCCTATCCCCCTCGTGTGCCTTCGGCAGTCGTCAGCGCGTGAGGGGGGCAACGAGGCCCGACACAGGGCGGTGCTGCCCTTGCCCCCCGCCTCCTATCCCATCCTCGCCATCCAAGCCACTCCTTGCCATCATCCCTCCATCTCTGGTCCATTGGCACGTCGCTTCCCTCTCTCATCCTAGCAGCCATCACCTTCACCTCTCCCGCCCTCTCTCACCTCGCTCCCCCCTTGGCGCCAACCTAGCACACACAGGATGAAGCTCCACTCGACCGCCCTGACTGCGGCCCTGCTGGCCAGCAGCGCCGCATCTGCCCTCCCCATGCAGAGCTTCTTTGCCCCGCCCTCGTCCGGCCCCTCACTGTCGACGCTCGACATAGAGTCAGCCACCCCCTTTTCGCGCCTCACCAACCGCCTCCTCCAGCCTCTGTCGTCGCTCTTTGAACCCCGCCTGGTCCAGACCGCGCACGATGCCGAGCCCTACTGGACCAACGAGCTGGGCAAGCACCTTCTCTTCTACCGCGGCCAGTCCTTTATGGACCTCACCGACCACCCCCAACTCGGCCTCCTCTCGGCCCAGCGCCTGGACGCCGCCAAGGAGCCCACGTTCCCAGAGCACGTCCGATTCGACAAGCAGCTCAAGCCCGTCTTCAAGGGCATCAGCGACAAGGGCCCGCGAGAGAACCTCAAGGCCTTTACCGGCTTCCACACGCGCTACTACAAGAGCGAGACGGGCAAGCAGAGCCAAAAGTGGCTGCTCAGCAAGGTCAAAGAGGTGAGTAGGCAGTCGATCGTCTCTTGACCAATCTGAGCACGCGATCCCGTGCAGACTGCTGACCGATGTCGGCACCGTCGCCTCGTCCGTCGATTTCGTTTCCCCTGCGCAGACGATCGGCTCGCACGCCAACATCACCGTCCGGGAGTTTGAGCACGCCTGGGGCCAGAACTCGATCATCCTCCATGTGCCCGGCCGCAACGCCTCGCTCTCGCAGTCCGAGGGCGTCACGATCCTCGGTGCGCACCAGGACAGCACCAACTTCTTCCCCTTCTTTGCTGCGCCCGGCGCCGACGACGACGGCTCGGGCACCGTGACGATTGTCGAGGCCCTCCGCGTGCTGCTGGAGGCCGGCTGGCACCCCGAGACCGACGTCGAGTGGCACTGGTACTCGGCAGAGGAGGGGGGCCTGCTTGGTAGCCAGGCCGTGGCCGCCTCGTACGAGCAGGAGGGCCGCAAAGTCAAGGCCATGCTCCAGCAGGACAGTGAGTGCCGTGCATTGAAAGCGTGTGCGGCGCACCTGCGATTGCGGTCGCTCAGAGGGCCATCAGTCGCTGACCGTGATATGCGCGCTGCGACTCTCCCTCTCCCTCTCTCTCTCACACACCCACACACGTCGCGCCCCACAGTGACTGCGTTTGTCAAGGCCGGCACTGATGAGGTAGTGGGCATCGTGAGCGACTTTGTCTCTGCGCCTCTGGCCGCCTTTGTGACGCGCCTGGTCAAGGCCTACCTCGACATTCCGCCGGTCGAGACCAAGATTGGCTACGCCGCCAGCGACCATGCGTCGTGGTCCAAGATCGGCGCGCCGTCTGCGTCTGCCATTGAGGCGTGAGTATCGCGTCGTCGCGACGGGTCGCCTCGAGGGTTGGCTTGGGCATGGTGCGGGATCGGCTCGCTGACTGCTGTATCGCCTCGGTGTTTGCCCGTGTTTACCCCCCTCATCCGTAACTACCGCTCCCTGCAGCACGTACGAGAACAGCAACCTGCGCAGGATCCACACGACGGGCGACGTCTTTGACATTCCCGAGTACTCTTTCCGCCACCTGCTGCAGTTTGTGCGGCTCTCGACCGCCTTTGCCGTCGAGCTCGGCGGTTGGGCCCAGTGAGGCTGCCGGTGGGAGCTCGGCCGTCACGGCTCCCAGACAAAGGCACAGTCCATCCACGCTGGGCTGGGCTGCGCTGACCGGCCCGGGCTGGCCTCGCAGAAGGGCTAGCTGTTGCAGTACAAGAGCCACTAGACGATGTAGAGCCGTGCCATTGAATTGAGGAACCCCTTGAGGCGTCAGGTTGACTACGTCGGCGCGGGCTGGATCGAGGATCGGGGTGGGCCATCGGGGGCAAGAGGGTTGCGGCAGGTGCTGGCACAAAGAGAGAGAGGGAGGCGTGGTTCTTGTGTCAGCCGTCTGGCTAGGTAGCGGTGGCCCGTGTCGCCCGGCGCTCGCTGCTAAGCACATCTCCGGGCCCTGGCTGCCTCCACATGCACGGCCTGGCCTGGCTGCCTCTTGACCCGGCGGGCCATGGCGGGGCGGTCCTTGGCTTCAGTCCACCACCGCCACCGTCCAGAGGGTAGTAGTAGTACCCCACATCCTCCCGCTCTCCTCCTGCCATCGTGATACCCTCGACGGCACGACTGAGCACTTCTTGTCGGACGCACACCCGACTCGTCTTGACCGCTCACCTCGCTCCGAGGAAGAACCGCACGCCTTCGCCCAGTGCGCCGGGCCGAACTAGGCTGCATCGACCACCCGCCCCACTGCTCTGCCCGCCGCGTCCCGCCGCTCCCTCCCTCCCCTCTGCCAGCACCCGGCCCCATGTCCGATCAACCCTCATCACGGCGCAGGGTGGCCGACGACGACCAACTCACCGACTCGGAAGAGGAGGCCTGGATGCAGGAGCAGCTCGAGGACCTGGCCAAGCAAGAAGAGGCCGCCGATCGTATCCGCCGTCTCAACCAGGCAATCGACAACGACGACCTCTACGGAGATGAGGACGACCAAGACGACGACGACGATGATGATGATGACGACGACGACGACTACGACCCAGAAGAGGACGACGAAGACCTCCAAAGCGGCAACCTCATCATCGAGTTCGCCGACGATGGAGACGACGGGGACCAGCTGATGCTCGAGGACGATGACGACGACGACGACGACGACGACGACGACGAAGATGACGGCACCATCGACATCCAGGAGCTGCTGCGCGCCCACCTGTCCCAGAGTGCCGCCAACGCCGATGGCGAGGCCACCAGCCGCACCGCCCGCGCCTTAAACAGCATCGGCCTCGCCAGCCTCCAGCGCTTGCTCGTCTCCGCCGTCACCGGCAGGGGCGCAGACGGGGTGGGGACGATGACGACGACGACGAAGAGGAGCGCGACTGGTACGGCATCTCGCGCAACCACCAGATGTCGAACTTCTGGGACCCGGTCGACGAGCCGATCCGCGCTGGTCAGGAGCTCCTCTACGGCGGCGAATTCGGCAAAGTGCCCCGACGGCCACCGGGTGCGCCTCCAAGTGCTTTCAAGGAGTCGGACAACCTCGTCGACCTCATACACCGCCGCAAGCACGCGCGCCGTCGGGTGCCCAAGTCGGACATTGGCGAGGTGAGTGATCCCGGCGTCGGCTCTTGCAAGGGCAAACGAAGGGCCAGCCCGCTCACGACTATGCCTGCCCTCGCCCTCGCCGGCGACAGTCCTTTATCCCGAACACCAACGGCACAGTCGTGGCAAAGTACCCGGCACGCGTCTACTGCGGGCAGTACTCGCAAGACTCGTCGTTCTTCTACACCTGCTCGCAAGACTTCAAAGTCCACGTGAGTGAGGGCGAGCCGAGCCAAGCCTGGCGTGATGGCCAGGGCGGTGCATTGCTAGCGGTTCCCCTGATGCTGACCGACACGCGGCTTCCTCGCTTTCGGCGTCATCGTTCACCACTGCTCCGGCAACCAGGTCTACGACACGACCGTCTCCGGCCCGCGCAACGTTCAGGTCTACGACGATGGCCCGCAGCGCATCCGGCGCTCGTACTACTACGGCTCCTTCGGCACCACGCAGTATACCTCGCTGAAGATGATCAAGAGCATCCAGGGGCGTCAGGGCAACTGGACCATCACCGACGCCAACCTGTCGCCCGACAATCAGTGGATGATCTACTCGTCCATCACGCCCTTTGTTCACCTCGTGCCGACGCGGCAGCACTTTTCGCCAGAGGGCGGCGGCACCTCGCACAGCGATGACCAGGTCATGCTCGACTTTAGCAACTCGGGCGACGACGACATCGGGGTGAGGTGGCGTAGTGCGGTGAGGATCCGAGGCCCCGTTCGAATGTGCACGTCCTTGCTGATGCGATGCTTCGCTTTCTGACCTCTGCACGACCTCTGCCCTCCGTCATCCTCCTCGACCACGCCCACGGACGATAGATCTGGTCGATCCGCTTCTCTGGCGACTCGCGCGAGATCGTTGCAGGCGCCCACTTTGGCGACATCTACGTCTACGACATCGAGGCGCGGCGGCGCGTGCTCCGAGTCGAGGGCCACTCGGACGACGTCAACGGCGTCGCTTTTGCCGACTCGGCCTCGTCCAACGTGCTCATCAGCGGCAGCGACGACTCGTTCGTCAAGGTATGGTGAGTGTCCGAGGGCGCCTTCGCGGCTGCAGAGCGGCTCGCGCCTCGTCAAGGCCGGTGTCTCTACCGAGACGACCCAGCGCGAGTCGACAAACTGACCCTTTGCCGTCCCTGTCTCTCTTCTCCATCGCGCAACAGGGATCGGCGTTCGCTCTCCGGCGGCAAGCCTGCGGGCGTCTTCACGGGCCACACCGAGGGCATCACGTACGTCTCGCCAAAGGGCGACGGCCGCTACTGCATCTCCAACGGCAAGGACCAGTCGCTCAAGCTGTGGGACCTGCGCCGCATGCACTCGTCGGCCACGTTCGAGTCGATGGCCAAGCGCGACTACGGCCTGCGGAATTGGGATTACCGCAACATGTACTACCGCCCGCCGCGCTTCCAGCAGCACCCGCAGGACTGTTCGGTCATGACGTTCCGCGGCCACGCCGTGCTCAAGACGCTCATCCGCTGCCACTTTTCGCCCGCCGCCACCACGGGCCAGCGCTACGTCTACAGCGGCAGCGCCGACGGCCGCATCCACATCTGGAACCTCGAGGGCCAGGTGGTCCAGGTGCTCGAGCGGGGCAAGGCGCGGCCCCTCTACGCCGTCAAGGACGACCGCCACATGGGCTGGAAGCGCTACATGGGCATCGGCGAGGACGAGGACGGCGATGCCATGGACGAGGACGACGACGAGCTGGTCGACGATGACAACGACCAGAGGGCCGCCGACCCTTCGGCCCCGGCCTACCCCTGGACGGCTCACCGTGCGCTGCGGCGGACGGGCGCGGGCGGGATGCGCCTCCGGCCCTCGGCGGCTGGAGCAGCAGCGGCGGCGGCGGCGACGACAACGCCGCCCTCGCGGCGAGGCCGCGACGTGTCCAACGTCTGCACGGTCCGCGACGTCAGCTGGCACTCGTCGGAGCCGTCGATGATGAGCACGGCGTGGGACGGCCCAGAGGGGCAGAGCGGCAGCATCGCCAAGCACGAGCTCGCCGACAGCTGGAAGCTGGGCACGCAGCTCGAAGACGAGGTTCAGCGGAGGCGGGACGAGGCCTGGGGATAACGAGGCTTGTCGTGCGGGATGGGCATGGGGATTCAAGGCGGACGGCAGGATGGGGGGATACGGGCGGTTCAGATTCGGAAAACGGCGCCTCGGTGCTTGTCTTGTCCTCGTCGCGGTGTGGGTAGAGTCGGTAGCTAGGGATGGTGAATCAACAGAGTCGATTCCGGATCCACCAGGGCCGTCGTAGCAGGCGTACTTGCCGTGCTGTGCGGTGCTGTTGGCTCGAAGGGCCCACCATCGGATGAAGGGGTCAGAGGAGCGAGCGTGCGCTGCAGTCAGAAGCCCGGTGTGGGATGGAGACGGTTGGTGAAGGCCAGCGAGAGCATGCCGTTCGTTTGGGATGAGGGAGAGGCCACCGTGAGTCCTGGCCTGTACCGTCTCGTCTGCGTGTTCCGAAGGACAATGGCTCAGCATGGTGGGAAGAGATGAAGGACACTGAGGATCGTGTGGGTACCATCAGGGGACGTTGCCGACCCACCCGTGTCCTCATGGAGCGGGCGGGCGTGCAACAAGGCGCCTGATTGATTGATGTTCACCCGGCCTCCGTGCTGCTGCTCTTGCTGCAGGGAGTTGCATCACCAGGTCTGAAGCAAGCAGCCAAACACGCTTGACTGTCAGACTGAAGGCAAAGTGAGGCAGGAGTGGGTGCACATCAAAGGTTGTATGTACCCTTGCTGATGCAGCATGCTCCCTCCTGTTTCAACTTAGGGGATTGACCAGGCTGAGTGATGAAACCCATGTAAGAGGCCCTACATCCAGACCAACATGGTGCACTGCAAGTCTTGTGGTGCACTTCCCCCCTTGATGGAAGCCCATGTACACGTCTGCTTGCAGGCTGTGGTCATTCAGGCACGACAGGGTGATACTCTGGTGGGCCACAGCCCTAGCTGGGCTCGGCCTCGGCCTGGTCCTCTACGGGCCTGAGCGAGCCTTTGAGCTCGTCTCATACCTGCCCTCCCGACCTTTGCAACTCGTCCACACACCCCTCACCGGCTCCTCCCACCATGTTCTTCCCCTTTGACCCCACCACATCGGTGGGAGTCACCTTACTCTCACTCAGCTTCGTGCTCGCACATTTCTCCGGTGCAATCCTCTTCGGGCGTAAAGATTTGGGGGGGCAGGTTGGACCAAGGTAGAAGGTGTATAGGGCTTAATCCTTCAAGGTCCTGGTAAGGCCTTGAGGAAGACAAGATGTCAGCACAGAAAGGCTGGTGTGTCTGAAGGAATCCTTGACAGATGGTGGAGTCCTGACCTGTTGAGGCTGACAGGTGATGGTGAGGAAGGAAGAGATGGTGACTGGCCAGTCTTGAGGAGGAGGGAAGGGAGAAGGTGAGGGAAAGGAGAATGGGTGTGAATTGCCTAAGGTAGGAGAAGGCCTGGAAGTGGGAAGGAAAGGCTTGAGAGGAGTTGAAGGCAGAAGGATAGGAGCCAGAAGGAAGACGCCTTGTTGAAGATAAGATCAGGATTTGGGAGATTGCCTTGATAGATGAAGGACTTGAAGGTATGCCTTAGAGAAGGACTTGAAGAAGGTATGCCTTAGAGAAGGACTTGAAGAAGGTATGCCTTATGGATGAAGGACTTGAAGATATGCCTTGTTGGAAGAAGGACTTGGAGGTATGCCTTGGGAGAGTAAGGACTTGATGTGTGATAGGTCTTGAGAAAGGATGGTCCAGAAGGTGGGTGGAGGAAGTAAAGGAGGGAAAGTGGAAAGGAGATATGGGGAAGAGGGGGAAGGTAGAGGGGGAAAGAAGGAAGGGGGTATAAAGGGGGAAAGGGAAGAGGAACTGGCCAGCAGTTCAAAGGAAGGGGAAGGATGGAGTGGAGAGGAGAGAGGTTCTGTTCTTGATGGGGGAAGGGGCCAGGAGAGGCCTCTACATATACCCATCAGGGAATGTAACAGATGTGTAACAGGTTTGTACCTGGTACAAGACTGGTACAGATCTGGTACAAGACTGGTACAAGACTGAGACAAGCTGCAACGGAGAGGCAGAATGGCCCTGGGATGAGGCAGGCACTTGAGGAGAGGCCTTGTCCAGGTGGCAATTTGGCAGTGGTTGGTGAAGAAGAGGGGTCGAAAGAAGGACTCTGGCAAGGGAGGAGAGGGTGTCCTTTGCATCGGGGCTTTCATGCCCTGGCAGGCCACGCTCACCATCACCCTCTTCATCCCCCTGCTTTCGGCAGCATATGCTATCTTCAAATCCCACTCTTGTCACCATGTGCTGACCAGGCGGGCAAGCAAGTAGATGGAGCCACTAGGAGAAGCTGTTACGGTGCGCTTGAAGCCGCCCAGGCCAAAAATGGCGGGCTTGGCGGTAGCGGCGCTGCGTATGGGCTTGGCGGCGGCCTCAGCACTCGGAGCATCCTTGGGAGCGGTGGCCTTGGCCACAGGCAAGTTAGAGAGTAAGTGACTATCGTCAGCTCACCAGATGTGATGGGCAGGACAGCTGTCATAGTTTTGTATGACTGATGTTTGAGGTCTGATGCATGACCAGCAGATTGTCAGCAGGCTGGAGAGCAAAGTGGAATGTAATTCAAGTTGTCCTGCATGAGGTCTTGCATGCTTTTTGGAGGGCATGCATCAGTCCCTGCTCACTCTTCAAGGCTGGACAGGGTAATATGACTCTTGGGTTTGATGTGAGCACCTTTGGCCCTGGCCCATCTTGATGTACAGCTGCTTTCACCAAGTCTGACTGTTGAACTGTGTGCAGGTTGAAGATCAAAGTAGGTCATTGGTCAAAAAAGTGATGCTTGTTGAGAACAGGATGCTTCCTTCACCTCTGTCCCCAGTCAAGATGAGTGGCTAACAGGCTGACTGAACAGATCATGTAAGAGACTGTGCCGATGACATCTTTGACTGATTGTCCCTTGTTGTCAGAGCCACTCCCATTTCGAGCTGCACGGACTTTGGCAAACGGCTCGGGTGTCGGAATTGGCGCCGAGAAGTGCCCTCCGTCCGACGTTTTTTCCCCTTCTTCAGCTGACGTTCTTCTGTCCCGCCCGTATGCTCCTTTGCCCGTCTCTACCACGACCTTCCATCGCCATCGGCACCGGCACCAGCACCAGCACCAGCACCAGCACCAGCACCAGCACCAGTACCGGCCTAGCCCGGACTAAGCTTCAAATCTGATCACCAGAGCGACCGTACCCTTTCTGGTTGAACTGCGGCACCGTCCGCCCAACTGGCGCTCGGCGGAAGACCCTTTCCTCTGTCCTTGCACTGCGAGTCGCCGCGCCTCTTGAGCGCCTCGTCCTGCTCTGCACGCTTTCGCCATGCCCAAGGCAGCCAAGAGCAAAGGCAAGCATGCCGATTTCCAGGTGAGCCTCAAGACTTGCCCTCTTCTGACCGCACCTCCGCCTGTCCGTTCGACGTTCCGGCCGCTCAACCCACTCTCCCTTGACTTTGACCTTACGCCTCGCACCACGGCGTTGCTCCCTTCCCATCTCAGAAAACCAAGCTGAAACTTGGCAAGGGCAAACAGCAGGCCAACAATGCCACCGACACCTCGTTCCGCTCTCGAACCATCGCACTGCCCCAGCAGAGCATCAACAAGGACAACTCGACCCGTCTCGTCACCAGCCGCAATCTCGGGGTCACCGAGCTGGCACAGCAGCTTCGACATTTTGGCGCGGGCGTGCGCAAAGAGGCCGTCAATGGCATCCGCGAGATTCTCTCTCTTCACCCGATCCTCATCCGAACCGCCGTCGGTCAGCTGATCCCGGACATCTGCAAGGTCCTCTCCGACGATGACCCGGCCGTCCGGCGCAACCTCTACTCACTCCTTGGATGGTACCTGCCCCAGATTCCGCCCAACCTCTTGGCGCCTTATCTGAATGCGCTCCTACTTTTCACCGCCTCGGCTCTCAGCCACATTTATCCGGAGGTCCGCATCGACGCCATCAAGATCCTCGACGTTCTCGTCCAGATAGCACCGCACGCGACTACGACAGGCTGGCAGAACGCCATCGACGCTTTCATTCGCCCGCCTCCGCCTAGCTTCGCATCTTGCCCGTCCGGTCCCAGCTCCGGCCCGGCTTCGACCGCGAACACGGCTGCTGCTGCTGCTGCGGATGGCCACTCAACGACGCACGGAGAGCGGTTCATGAATTGCTACCTCAACCTCCTCGGCATCACCCGCCGTACCGGAGCTTTCGGCCCTAGTTCACACAGCGGCAAGGCGCAAAGCACACAGCAGCGCACCTCCTCGACCACCATCACCGATCTCGCACCCGCCGCAAAGCTGCTCATCCTCAAAAGTCTCAGGAATTTCCTTGCGGCTGCCGCTTCGCCAGCTGCACCGACGACATCCTCGACAGCCGCCGAAGCGGCCTCTGCATCGCGGTCCGCGGTGACAACGGCTTCGGCGGCGCCAACCCAGGACTGCCCGACCTGGTTCTTCCGTCCGAGCTTCCGCGACGACGCCGAGTTTGAAACGTTCGAAGGCCTAATGCGCCCTGACCTCCGCAGGCGGTGTAACCGGAACTTTGTGCGGGTCGACAGCGGCCACAGCGCGTCTTCGGCCGCGGCGGAGCCATTGACTGACGGCGAAAACAACGCAAGCGCCAGCAAGCGGCAAAAGAGGCGACACGATGCGACAGCTCTTGCCGATGCCAGCACCTTACCCGACTTTCTCTCTATCGGCCTCGGTCCTGGCTGTCTGATCAACGTCGGCGACACTGCAGGCCGGAGCTGGGCCACTGGCGACCTCTTCGCCTCCCTGATGAAGGCCGCGCTTGCCCCGTCGGATCTGCCACCACGACTCGGACAGCGGCCAGTCGGCGGGACAGACGCCACTCCCGATGCCACCATCTCGCCCTCTCTACACCTCTTCTCTCTGCTGCAGCCGGTCATGGTCGCCACCTTCCTTGACAGCGCGCCGTCTGCCTTCCGCCCAGGCATGGACCTCCAAGCGCTTTCTTCCGCATCCCGCAGCGCCGCATCCCATCAGAACGCTGGGCTACCTGTGCAAGCCGAGATCGTGTCGCATCTCGTGGCGCTGTGCATCACACTCTGGCGGGCATCGATTGCAAGGTCTCCGACTTCGTCGGGCGATGTCGCTTCGCCCATCGCATCCTCGCGCGCACATCGGAGCGAGCTTGCTGGCCTCCTTGGACATGCTTCTCCCTACTTTCCCTTCAGCCAACACGGATCGCCAGCGGCCGGATCGCTGGTCGCGACACTCTCCCAAAAGGCACGCGCGATGCTCACCGAGATGGATCTCGCCTTCTGTGAGCTGACTGCGCTCCTCGCTCTAAGCATGGGCCCCGATGGGCGCGCCGCCGAGGCAAAGGCACATGCAGGCGGAGGCAGCAGCCACAGCAAGAGCAGGGCCAAGATCAACCTCGCCGTGCAGCTGGCAACCGTCTCGGACTTCATCTCCCAACTCCTCAAGTCTGCTCCCACATCTAGCGGGGGCGCTGAAGCTGCCAACATCGTGAGCTTGTCCGGAAGCAACAGCATCGGGTCAGCGCCTTTGGACCCGACCACGTACGAGTCGTTGCTACCCACCGTTTGGCTGCTGCTCAACACCGGATCCACCGCCGCCCCGCCAGCAGCAAGCATAGCGGGCGAGACGGACGAGGTCGAGTCAGATCGAGTATCTTCAGACCTCTTTGAAGCCGTCGTCGAGCACTACTCGCGGAGTGGGAGCTCGAGCAAGGTCAAGGCGCTTGCCTTTGAGTTCATCGCCAGGCTCTGCACGCTCCAGACCTTTGCCTCGTACGATGCCTCCCGGGACGGCAGTCGGTTCACGATCCGGCCGGGTAGCAATCGACTGCGAGACGCGATGGGACGGTGGATTCTGGGCCTTCCGCGGTACCTCTGGGAAGCCACCTCTTCGCTGTCGTCCTCACCGACCAGCCTCCAGACCACTGGTGCAGCGACGACATCGGCACCCCACAAGGTGCTGGAGCTGCTGCGGTACCTCGTCGTGGTGTCCAGTCCGTCGAGCAACACCACGGGTCTTCGTCTGACGGCCAAGGAGCTCGAATCGCTGCGCAGGAAGCTCGTCCCGTTCTTTTGCGTCGAGCATCCCGTCAAGAAGGTCAACGTCGAGGGCCCATTTGCCAGGCTGCGCACCGCAGAGGAGATTCGAGAGGCGACGTCGCTCGTCGAGTGGCTGAGCAGCGGCGATGCTGGCAGGACACAGCATGAGACGGGGTCGGTCGATGCGGCCGGTGTCCGATTGGCAGCCCTGCTTCGGTGTTAGCTCGCCGAGACGCCTCTTCTGTTCTAGTTCCATTCGGACGTGGGCGGCGACGGTGGCTGTTCGTTGGTCTGTCGCACGTCGGTGCGCCATAACAGGTCAGGCAGTCGTTCTGCAGCTGGATTGGGCGCTCAGATATGAAGAGAGACAAAGAAAGCGTTTTGCTCAACGTCTGCAATGCACATCGTGCATCGCCGAGATTCTCGCCTTCTCGATACAGCCATCAGTCGGACGCAGACTCCGCTGCATCCTGCTGGCCCTGCGGCGAAGGATATGGTCTCTTCACGTCCCTCATCTTCCTGTCATCTGCCTCCCTGACCGAACGAACCAGGTCGTGGCGTGGGGCGAGGTTCTTGGGTACTTCCATCCTTTATATCCTGGCGGAAAAAGCAGCTGATCGTGCATCGGTCGTTGGCGCTTTCGTCGCTGTGCTTTACGTAGGGATGCGGCGACTGTGAGGAATGCGACACCGCACGGCAGCAGCTTGGCCACGAACCGCTCCATAGCCGCCGATCGATCACGATATCATGACATCAAGACCTGGCAAGGCTCCGAGGCATTGAAGACCCGTCTTCAGGCCGCGTGTGTGAAGGGCATCTTCGACTGGGGTTGCAACTGTTTGAGCATTTTTCCTACTGCACATACAGGTACATGCCCGCAGTCCTAACCACTTCGGGCATACTGCGGCATGGAGGGCGCGGTGCGATAATTCTGTCGCTTCGCGAACACGCCCTTGCCAAGGCGGATGACCGAGTTCTTGGTCTTTCCTGCAAGCGGCGGTGGTTGGTCGGCGCGCTCCTGCCCGGCCCAGGGGCGATGCCCGCGCATTGGCTTGGTGAGGAGGCGTCCGCGCGGCCGGTTGTCGGCCCAGCTGGCGACGCGCTCATCGTCGACGCGCACCTGTCCCTCGAGCGCGGCCGTGGCGCGCAGACGTAGCAGGTGCTCGGCGGCCAGCTCGACAAGCTTCTCCCGTGCCTCCATCCCTCCGAAGCGCACCACCTTGGAGATGTTGGTACGCGTCACCTCGTTGAAGCGCTCGTCCTGCTCGAGTGTCGCAGCGTCGAACTGCCGGCCCTCGCGCAAGCTGTCGGTGCCCAGCTTCGTGATACGGTTGAATGTCTCGCGCGCAATGGCCCGCGCCGTCATCTGCAGCCGCAGGTCATTGGGACCGTCGACGAGCTCCAGGATAGCGCGAGGCGCATGGTCGCCCTGCCGATTGCCAAACAGGTGGATCCGCGTGTAGCCACCGGGCCGCTGGGAGTAGCGCTGCGCCAGCTCGGCCAGTTTGGGTAGCGTCTTTTCTTGCGTCTGTGAAGAGAGAGAGAGAGAGAGAGCCGGAGCAGGGTGGGAGAGTGAACGGCCGAGGCAAGGCTCGTAACTGGCGTCAACAACAAGGGGAGAGAAGGAGCTTGTGGGCCGTGCGCTGCGGGCAGCACTCACGTAGAGGTAGCCTCTGGCTCCATATCCAGCCTGCACGGTACCGCGCTTCCCGAGGGTGATGATCTTTTCTGCCTCTCTTGCGGCCTCCTTGGCCTTTGCGACGGTGGTGGTTATCCGCTCGTGCTCAAAGAGGGAAGAGACGAGGTTGCGCAGCAGGTGGTTGCGGTGCGAAGACGTCCGGCTGAGCTTGCGGAAAGCGAGGCCCTTCATCGCGCCAGGTGTGGTGTTTGATCAAGAGGAGGGCCGGGGAAGATACAGCGTGATGCTGGGTAGGTGCAAGCGAGGGAGGTGGTCCGTGTCTTGAGCCGTGGCGGTATGGTGCGTCTGGGGGCTGTGCTGGCGTCCGCAGAACGAGGAGGTCGTGCCGGCTCCCACGAGGTCTGTCGGAGGGAAAGATAGGCTGAGCCAATGGCAGCAACGACTCGAGAACAGGGACAGGGGGTGTTTGCGGCTGGAGAGGGCGGTGTGAGAGGTGGTGGTGGCCAGCAGGTCGCCAAGGATCGGGTCAACCAGGGCTGGGCGGCCAGGCAAATCTTGAATCTGGGCAGGGCGCTCGCATCCGAGGGGGCCAGGCAGGAAGAAACCTGCGGCGGCCACCATCCTTTTTTTGGTACCTCTCTCGGCCGGGTGTCGGTCGACGCAGGCCGAGGATGACCAACGAAGCGCGCTGGGGGCCCAAAGGCTCTTTGGAGGGCGGGCTGACGGTGGCTGGTGATCAAAGCAGGCAGCCGGATTTGGTGCGTCTTCGCAGCCGCCCGCGCCCGCCCGACGAGCGCATCGCACCAAAGCCATCCCAGACCTCCACGACCTCACCCGCCATACTCAGCTCCTTCAGCAGCCGCCACCACCACCATCGCACCTCCTCTCTCTCTCTACACGCTTTCGTTAACGCACATATCTTTTCACAATGGTCGCCGCACTCCGAACCGCCGCCGCATCCCTCATGCGTGCCCGTGCACCCCTCGCCGTCGCCCGCCAGGCACCCGCGCTCCGCACCGCCGCCCTCCCCACCACGGCCGCCGCCCGCTTCAACGCCGTTCGCTTCTACGCCAGCGGCTCCGGACTCGGAAAGGAGGAGATCCAGACCCGCATCGTCGACGTCCTCAAGACCTTTGAGAAGGTCGACCCGAGCAAGGCGAGTAGGCGCCAGGCCAGCCGATCGAGCAACGGCAGTCGCCAATACCTGTCGCGCTGACAACCCCCCTCGTCCTTTGCTCTCCTCATCGGCTCTGTGCAGGTCTCGGCCTCTTCTGCCTTCACCAGTGACCTTGGCCTCGACTCGCTCGACGCCGTCGAGGTCGTCATGGCCATCGAGGAAGAGTTCTCGATCGTGAGTCGCCCATACATGGCCCCGCGCCTTTCGCCACGGCCCAGGACCCACTCATCGCTCACTGCGCGGACCATGCCTCGTCTCTGCGCTCACTTTCACCGCACAGGAGATCCCCGACGCCGAGGCTGACAACATCACCACCGTTCAACAAGCGATCGACTACATCGCCAAGTCGCCCGAGGGTGTGTGCAGACCGCTGATGGCGTTCGACATCCAACATCTTCGCAGAGAACAGACTCGCTAACTTCGTCAGCTTTCTGAACCTTCCACGCGCCGCATTCTGGCCTCTTCCAGCTCACTAAGCGGTTTGGATCGCTGTGAAGCGGCGGAGCCATTCCCATCGGACAGACTTCGGCCTCGCTCGCAGCCACAAGGATTTGATGCGCTGCGTTGCGACGCTTTCGAGTGGAACCAGCCGAGCGAAATCGAGACAGACCTACATGCGACTCTGTTGTCTGACGCCTGGACGGATGCCGCCACCAGTACACGATCATCGACTGCGAAACACCCGCGGCGTCAGGGCTGCGATAACGCAGGCTGATGATGATGCGATGGCGGCGCAATGGATGCTGCTGCGCTGTGGAACAAGAAAAGGAGGTGCCGAACGAACTGCCTGTCGAGACTCAGAATCCGAAGCTGCCAAAGTCGAACTCCTGCGCGCCCTGGCTGGCGTTGCTGGCCGCCGCAGACTTGAAGACGCTCAGGCCCTTTGGCTTGCTCTCGTTGGCGGCAGCGGCAGCGGCGTCATCCACCTGCTTCTGTGACGGGGTCTCGATGGTGGCCGACCGCTCTTCCTCGTCGACTGTGGTTGGTTCCTCGGTGATGGTGGCATTATCGCATGCGCGGTGCTGGAACATGGTCGACGGAGCGCTGGCCGCCGATGCTTCCCTCGACTTCGTCGATGACGCCACCGCGCCATCCGAGCTGTCCGAGGCGCTCTGCCTTTGGTGCGCGGCGTTCTCGAGGCTTGCCGATCCGATCGCCCCCGCGAATGATCCGATGTCGAGGTCATTGACGATGCTGGATCTTCTTCGCAGCATGCTGCTGCGACGCCTTGACATGGTCGGACTCGGCGGAGGAGACATCGACGAGGCGTACGACTCCCGTCGCTGGTGAGCGGTGCGCTCGCGTGGGGCGGACGTGCTCGTTTCGACATCCAGGGATACCGTGTAGCCGGCGAAGCCGTCGCGCGAATCGTCGCGGCCGCTGCGGCCGTCTTGGTCGACTGCGGCTGCAATGTCCTGGCCAACGCGCGAGAGGTTGACCAGGTCCTGCTTCGACACGGCGTGGTAGCTTGCCGTCGAGCTGGCCACCGTCGGTGGCGGCTCGAACTCCCACGTCCGCAACAGGTTGAGGCCCAGAAGATGGCACCCCATGCGGCAAAGGACTCGGTTGGCGTGGAGCACAAAGTCAAACTCCTTGCGCTCGGAAATGGCCGCAGTGCCCTTGAGAGTCTGCAGTGACTTGTTCTTGAGCTGCTTCAACAGAATCGCCAACGACGGATCGTCGCTGTGCCCCTCGCCGCAGATCGCATCGGACGGCAGCATCGCCGCCACGTCAGGGTCGGCCATCAGTTCCGACAGCGGAGACTGTGGAGTGTGCATGGCGATCCCGACGCCGTCAGGGGGCCGAGATGGAGCAATGCCGCAGCGTTAGCCTGGGTCCATCATAGACGGCAGATCTGCCGGAGCGCCACCCAACTCACCACAATGATCCGCACGGCGAGGTCGCGGCGCTTGAGCATCCAGAACGCCCAGCTTCCGAGCCAGCGCTGGCCGTTGGCAAACACCTGCGGAAGCACCTTGGTCTGCAGCAGGTTGCGCAGAACGGGACCGTCGTCGCCGCCCTCGTAGATGCGAGCCAGCGCCACGGCCAGGTTGAGATCGCCAAGGTTCCGGACGCACACGTTGACCGCGTCCTGTAGGCTGCCGCCGAGCAAGAAAAACGAAGCGGCAAACTCTGCACGCATGCGAAAAGCACGAGGGGGTCGGAGACAGTAGTGGCAATGATCAGCATCGAGCCAGCCGCCAGGTCATCTCGATTGGAAGAATGAGTCGACGAGGGGACCCACCGTATCGGCGCTGGCTGAGCAGCGCAAACGCATTCTTCTGAGCCGCCGTCCGCCAGCGCTCCTCGGAAAAGTCTTTGGCGAGGAACTGGAGCATCTTCTTCTGCTCGGGATGCCAGATGGCCTGCTTCCACAGGCCGAGCACCACCTTTGGCTTGCCGAGGGCGTAGTAGAGGAGGGAGCACTTGACGGGATCGCGATCGTCGCCCACCATGAACTGGGCGCGCGCCACCTGCTCGGCCTGCTCGCGCAGCGCCGTTTGGCTCTTGAGCCACATGAAGACGCCGGTGGACCTTGCCACAGCCCACGTCAGCTTTCCCCCGCAGCCGGCTGCGATAGCGCTCAGCAGCGGCTCCTGGTTGTTGCTGTGCTGCGCCCACACCGTGTCCTGATGATCGAGCTCGCCCGCCAGCGCCCCCTCGGCGACAAGCTCGTTTTCGGGCCGGTTGAGGAGCAGCCGCAGCGACATCAAGAACCGCAACCCGTTGTCGTCTAGGCTGCGCCTTTGCTCCTCGGCCTCGCCGAGGGTGCGGATGATAACGGCGAGAGCCTTGACGTCGTTGTCCGATAGGTGCGGAACGTGGATGCCATCGATCGCGCGCAGCAGCGACTGAGCGCCCTTGGTGCCGAAGAAGCTGGTGGCGTCGTCGGTGCCGTCCGAGGCGAAGCCACCGTCGTCGTCGAAGATTGAACGCCCGTTGGGCCGGGCCTTGGCTTGACCATTGACTGCAGCGTTTCGCGCCGCCCCGCTGTTCCCAGCGTCGACCAACGAAAAAGCATCCAGAGAAATTTCTTTGAAGTGCCAAGTCTCTTCGATGCTGCCTGGTGACACGGCGGCAATCGCAGCCCGAAGGTTGATGATGATCGCCTTGGCCGCGTCGAGGTTGTTCCAGAGCAGGCATTCTTGTAGGAAGGACGGATGATACTGTGGCAAGGGTCCCGTCCGCTCGGCGATGACCTCGGCGAGATGTGTGGGGCGTTGCCGGACGGCGGCAGCGCTGACAGCACTGCTCACGGAGGCCTTGGTTGCCATTTTGGCGTCGGCCGGAGCGGGCTCGCACATTGGTCCCCAGACGAAAATCGAAGAGGCCGAGGCGACGGCAATGCGCTCGCGTGAAAGCCATGCCAGACCACGGATCTTGCTGGGCGTACAGCTGGCCATGTCGATGCGAAGGCATATGCTCCAGCGTTGGCCAACGTGCGTGACGCCGTCATCGTCGCCCACATCAATGGCAGTTCGCGCGGGTGCTAGCACCTCGACGCGGTGCTGAAAGGCAAGGGCGAGGGTGGATTCGGTCAGTGGCGAGGGTGACCAGTCCATGGCCAAGATCGGATCGCCGGCGTCGTACGTGCGCTCGTGCTCCAATCCCGATGCAAAGGACGATGCTTTCGAGTTGTAGATGCTGAGGCGCTGAAGGCCATCCGGCAGCGACGAGACGATCGCATTCTGACCGGCGGATGTGCAGCTGGCCAAGACGGCATGGCGGGCGCTAACCCGCATCGAGCTCTCACGAAACCAGCCTAGGCTGAGGTCGGAAGGAGCCTTGCGCATCGCCGTGGCCTTAGTTGGACGGAGACCCCACCTCTGAAGATGGCCGTCTGCGCTCAGGGTGGAGACGAGAGCCGAGCTGGTCGTCGCCTGCTGACCTAGGCCGATGATGGAGACCACAACAGAAGCCCCCACTTCTTCCTGCAAGGGGATCCTTGGCCTTGCCACCGCATCCACGTTGAGACTGTCGCCCATCTGGACTTTCCATACGCGCGAGGCGCCGTCCTTTGCGCACGCCACGAGGTGCTGTACCTCCCCGATCCGCGCAAATCGAAGCACCTCGACGTCTTCGGGGAGCGCTGATGTACACGACGCGGATTCGGCCAAGAGATGCGGCGCCACGACGCACAGCTCGTTGCCACATATTCTGGCATGCAGCAGGCCTGAAGGAAGGAAAGCAATGACCAGAGACCGGAGAGAGTCCTTCCGAATTTAGCAGAGATGGTCCCTGATGGCACAGTGCGGACCCGACGCGGCCACTCACCATCGTCAGATATCGCCGCCTGCTTCGATTTGCCGTCGTAAGGGCCCGAACTTGGCCGCATTACGGCGCGTCCCTTGCCCAGGCGTTGGTGCGACCCTGCCTCGCCGTCCCAGACGATCGTTTCGGTCGAAGAAGCACTTGCAAGGAACCTGCCATCAGCGGATCGGTCTAGGCGTGCGATCCTGCTACAGTGTGCGATAACCGGGCTGCGGGTATCGACGCGGGCGACATTGTCCGAAGCAGCGAACGGAAAGGAGGCTAGATCCTCGCCTTGATGAGACAGGCCGATGCCCCTGCCGTCGAAGAAGAGGGCCGGGTTGAGGTCGACGGCGACTGCAGCGCCGGACGTGCTTCGGATCTGCAAAACTGCGAAAGCGTCCTCGCTCGAGGCCCCGTTGCCTGCGTAGCGCGGCAACAAGGCGACATCAAGAACGTCCGCTGTCTTGAGTGGCAGGCGGATCGGTGCTTTGAGGACGGTAAGCGTCTGCAGCAGGGTGGGAGGCTTGCGATCGATGTTCTGGCACGGTAGTAGGGTAGGCGCAGAGCGCACGGCGGTCAGTCACCTGCACTGATGGCATTGTCAGGCCAGTGACCGGTCAGCAAGCACTCACCGCCACGGCCAGCACTGTCAAGAAGCCGTCTTCTTCGAGCTTGACGAACAAGTCGGGCGCATCACTGAGCAGCTGCTGCAGCCTTCGAAGCCTTGTCCGCTTGATGTCCGTCTCCATCTCTGTATCACGTCGTTTTCCCTGCGCCGAGTGGTCATCCTCGCCTTCACTGTCGCCCAATCCGAGCTCCATCATCTGCAGCTCCTTCTCCAGAGCACCAATATTTGCGCGGAGCGCGTTGGCAACGACATGCGCCTCGAGATAGAAGGGTACCGGTTCGATGGTGGCTGTGGTGGAAGCGCGGCGGAGTTCGGCCAGCCGCTTTCCGACATCCGACGTCGAGTCGAGCGTCGCCCAAAGCCGCAGCTTGGCGGGTTCGTCGATGACGGCAGCCCAGACACGAGTTACGCCGTCGGCACAGGATGAGACGAGCACGTCCGATTGGCTGGAAGGATCGGGCGGGTGGCGCCAGACGAATGACGAGACCGGGAAAGGATGAAAGATTCGCTGTGTGAGGCTGGGTATGCCCTTCTCACCCGACGCGCCGGCCGAGGCAGCGCTGTGAGGCAGCGACCACAAGAGGATGTTCTGTCCGCCCTCGGTCGCTGCAGCAATCGAGCTTCCTTCGGGCGAGAAGCGCGCAAGACGGATCGGGGCGGGAGACGGCCTGGACCAGGTGCGCCTCCAGATGCTGATGCCGCTCTGTCCGAGTTGCCAGAGGCTGATCGAGGTCGCGGTGCCGATGACGAGCATCTCTGCGTGGAGATCGATGGAGGTGACGGGCCCGTCGTTGACCATGACGGTCGAATGAACCTTCCACTTGCGCGTGGTGCTGTTGGATGCGGCCCAGATGGCGATGCGGTGGTCCATTGCGGCGGCGACGAGCGTCTGTCTTGCGCCTGGGTCCACTCCGACGCAGACGCACGTCACGGCTCTCTCGGTCTCTTCTGAGGCCGAAAAGGCCTGCCAGAAAGGGAGCGCCTGGACAAAGTCGCGGTCGCGGGAGAGGAGGCAGACTTGGTCGGAGCTCGCCAGGGCCTGGTGCCGGAGGATCAAGAGCAGCGGAGAGGCGATGCAGAGGTATTAGATGAGCGCGCGGGTGCCTACTCGTCGGGCGGGGGAGAAGAGGCTGGGACGACGACGGGGTCGAGAGGAGTCGACTTACGGTTACGACGTCCCTCTGGTCGAGGCCTCTGCTAAAAGCGGTTGCATGGAGGAGTGCGGCGCTGACAGACAGTGGTACGGAGCATTGACTTGGCACCTGTGGGCCTGGAGAGGCTGGTCGTAGCGCCGATGGCTGGCCAAGGCAAGTCCATGAGCGGCGGAGGAGGGGCGTAGGGTCCGACATTGCGGTAAGGCTGGAGGTGGGTGGGCAGCTCCCCGCGGTGCCGCAGTCGAGCGGCAGTGTTGGATCTGCAGCACGCTATAACCAGCAACGGCCGTGGACGCCAGCTGATCCGATTGAGATGGAGATGAGGAGTGTGGCGAGTTGCAGTGGCAGGTAGTGGCGATGGTGGTGGTGGTAGTGGCCAACCCAGAGAAGCCAATTCAAGGGTCCGCTAGGCCAACTCGCCCAGGCCAGGCCTAGCTTGGCCAGCAGAGGCCGGAGAAACCAACACGCATACGGCGTTGGGCATCAACCTGGCCCGTGAGCCCAACAGGTCCAAGCTGAGTCCCTTGGCGTGGGGGGCCCGAGCGGAACACAGAGGAGAGGCCAAACGAACCGCGAAAAAGACGCTGTTTAATTCGAGGAAATTCCTTCTCGCCGCGAAGAAAAGAAGCCAGCCTCTCTCTAACTATCTCTGGCTGGCGTGGCCCCGCGAGGTCCACCAAGAAAGATGTGGGCTCCGCCCGCCAGCTCTTGATGGAAAAGTGTGCATATTCCCCTGTTCCCCCCCACCCCTTCCACGCTCCTGGTCACCATCACAACCATCGTCATTCCCTCTCACCGCCACCACCGCTAGCGCTGATCCCGCCCTCATCTTCATTCGCTGACAGTCGACCCCAACTCTCGCTGCACGAGCTTAACGCCGCGCCGTCCGCGTCCGCATACCAGCCATCCCGAGTTTGCCGCCATCGCCCTGGTGCGGCCCCTCCCCCTCTCCAAATCAGCCCGGCCTCGCCACCTGGTCACCGCATGTCTCAACCCCAGACCTCGTCGCAGCCCTCCAAGGCATCGTCGACATCAGCACACCCTGCGCCCGCAACCGCTTCTGCTGCGGCAGCCGGCAGGCGCATCTTCCACGAGGATGTCGTGCGCCGCATCGGCAGCGACGGCAGCAGTCGTTCAGGCGTCGTGCTGAGGTGCTGGCAGCGGGACGAACCCGAGACGCAGGATACGCTCAAGGATCAGACTGGCAAGAACCGCGCGGTGAGTGCCGAGCGTAACCCTTGGCCATCATCCGCCATCGAAGCTCGCTTCCTGACCTCTTCGTCCTCGCCCTTGCCCTTGCCCTGTTGCAACGTCCTCGCTACCTGGCGCATGCACCTCCGCAGCTGAAGCAAGGCGAGATCGGGGTATTCTGGTCGCCTTCGGACGCCCGTGAGATCATCAACGAGGAAGAAGTCGAGGTCATCGACCGCGCTCTCCACGTCGGCGACGTCTGCAAGCGCTCCCACCGCGACAAGGCCTCGTGCGTCGTCGTCGACGTCAAGCGCAACCTCACCCTGGAGCATGTCATCTCCAAGAAGCGGATAGACCACGAGGTGCCCTCGGACGACGTCCAGAACGCGGTCCGCGTCACTCGCGGAGACTACGTCATCGTCGATGACTGGGTCGGCCTCGTCGAGGATGTCTTTGAAGAGGCGCTTCTCGAGACGAGCGACTCGACCGAGCTGCAGCGCGTCTTTGACGTCGGCATCAGCCTGCCCGTCGGCAAGGTCCACCCAGAAGTCTACCAGGACAGCTACTTTGTCTGGGAGTCGCAGTTCCGCTCCGGCCGCCTGCCCGACGAGATGACGATCCTCGACGTTCGGCAGACGGTGCTCTGCGTCAACTGGCTCGCAATGAACCAGACGCTGACCCCCGAGGAACAGGAGCGCCGTCCGCGGCCAAAGCGCTTCTGGACCACCGACATCGACCGACTCACCCTGGTCCGCTCCTTTGCCGACTACTGCCAAGCCGTCGGCGACCGCGTCGTCTTCCGGAATGCGGACCTCGCCCGCAGGCATGGCGTCGAGCCTACTTTCCATGGTCCCGACAGCCTGCCCGTCGAGGTATGCCACGTCGTCCACACCTCGACCAAAGTACAAGTCGTCTGGCAGGACGGTACCCGCACCGAGGAGGACGCCCGTTGCCTCCTGCCCTATGTCAACATTGACGAATACGAGGTCTGGCCTGGCGACTGGGTCTGGTGGCAGCCGAGCGAGGGAGGGGGCGATGGCACGCAGGAGCAGGTGCGCAAGCCGGCCATCGTCCAGAGCATGGATCCCGAGGAGCGCACCGCCGAGATCCGCATCTATGGCACCGACGCCGTGGAGACCGTGCCCGTCCTCGAGCTCAACGTGCACGGCACCGATCCCGACACGTTTGGCATCCACCGCGGCGACGTCATCATGCTCGACTCGAAGCCCCACGGCATGCCGTTGCCTGCACTGCCGCGAGTGGGCCAGAGCGAGGAGATCCCCGACCTGCCGCAGCTCAACGAACAGCTTAGCAGGCGCGGCCTCGACCTCAGCTCGAAGCATCCAGTCCGCACGCCCCTCAGCGCGCCTCGCGACCCGAAGCGCGACGCCGCCGCTGCCGCCAGCATCGATTGGTATGGCAGCGTCACCGAGCTTCGACTCGACGGTGGCATCGTCGTCTCGCTGCCTGGCGGCCGCGAGATCGTCACGCAGCTCGAAAAGGTCTCGCTCCTCGGCGAAGGCTTCGCCGACGAAGACGAAGACGAGCTTTACGACGACTACGAGGATGATTTGGCCGACGACGCCGCCTACTACGGGGAGCGCCGCAAGAGACACGCCCATGGCGAGCATGGTGATGGCGCCGACGACGATGAAGATGCTATGTGGATGGACGAGGAAGGGCACGAGGTGACGAGCCGCGACGAGTGGGAAGACGTCGACGCCGGCGACGTCACCGGCAACACCGTGTTTGAGGATGCCGTCACTGAGCTGCCCGGGTCCGAGTCTGCGTCGGCGGCGGAGGTGACGGACGTTGTCGAGATCGTCGTAGATGCGGAGCAAGATCCCGCGGAACGCCAGCGGAAGCCGGTTCCCCCTGAGAAGCAAGAGCCCGAAGGGCAGCTGCAGACACCGCTGCCATCCACGACGGAGGTGGACACGCCGATGGACGAGGTCAAGGCAGCGTCGGCGGCAGGACCCGGAGCGTCGAGGTCGCAGGCACAGAGATCGACTGAGCCGCCTCAGCCGACGGCATCGGAGCCTGAGCAGCCGCAGACGCAGGAGCAAAAGTGTGCGCGCTGTCTCGAGAAGCCGCCATCCGACTCGGTTCTCGGCGACGAGTCCTTGAGCGCTGGCATGCCGACCGACGATCCGCGGTGGTCGCGCTTCGAGATCCTCGAGGAGGCGCCGTCGGACCACGCTTTCCTCAAGGAACCTGCGGGCTCGACGTCGTCGGCGGCCTACTTTAAGCGCATCCAGCGCGAGTTCAAGGTGCTGCAGTCGAGCCTGCCCGACTCGATCCTGGTCCGTAGCTACGAGGACCGGACGGATCTGCTGCGCGTCCTCATCATCGGCAGCGAGGGTACGCCGTACGAAGATGCACCGTTCGTCATCGACTTCCACCTCAAGCCGACGTTTCCGCAAGAACCGCCCGTGGCCCATTTCCACAGCTGGACCAACGGCGGCGGGCGGGTGAGCCCCAACCTGTATGAGGAGGGCAAGGTGTGCCTTTCTGTCCTCGGCACCTGGTCCGGCCAGGAGAGCGAGAGCTGGTCGCCGACGCAGTCGTCGCTGCTGCAGGTCTTTGTCTCCATTCAGGGTCTGGTGCTGGTGCGCGAGCCGTGGTTCACCGAGCCCGCCTACGAGAAGCTCAAGGGCACCGAGGAAGGCGAGGTCAACTCGGCCCTTTACTCGGAGAAGGCCTTCGTTCTCGCCCGCGGCTTTGTCCGTCGGGCGCTCGAGCAGCCGCCGCAGGGCCTCCGAGACGAGCTCGAGTTCCTCTACTACGGCGCCGACAGCCGCGGCGAGGGCGAGCCGGCGGTCCGAGGCCGACTGGAGAAGGTGATGCAGAGGTGCCGCGACCTCATCGCCGAGGCCGAAGAGGCCAAGCGGCGCCGAGCCGCACAGCGCAACGGCGGCGGCAGCGAAGACCAGACGGCGCAGGTAGCGGAAGGCACGACCAACAGAGGCCACGACGATGGAGCGGGAGCGAGCACGCCGACCAAGGTCAAGGGACAAAGTGACGACGCCATCTCGCACATCAGCATGGGCAGCTGCATCGTGCTGCAGCGACACCTCGCCGTGCTCGAGCGACTCTGGCGAGAAAGGCAGGCGGCGTAACCCCGACTCAGAGGATGGCCCAGGATCCGTCGCCTCGTCTTGGACGCCAAGGCCGCACTTTGGCCCGTCGTCGCCTTCGCCCGATGCCAACTCTGCCACCGTCGCGATGGCTTCATCGGCATCCCTGTACCTGTATCTGTACCTACCGCGATGGGGATGCAGTCGCCGTGATCGTCTAGTCAATCCATCGAGCATCGAGTGGAGCCCGATTCGTGGAATCCACGCGGTTCTGGCAGTGAAGACGCAGAGAGAGTGGGAAACGATTGAGACGGCATATCTGACGAACGAGCGGCTGTCCGCTTGAGGCAGTGTCGTGCGCCTCTGGCTCGCCCGTGCCGCACGTGCGTCGGCGGGCGTTGGTAATCGGCGAGGCGACGAGGTCCAATCGCAGCGGGTGGGTGGGCATGGGGCAGGGAGGTTGTGCGGCTTATGCGGTGGAATGAGGCTTTCGACGGCTGAAGTGCAGGACATTAAGTGGTCGTGAGAAGAAAACATGGCGCCGGGGACCGGGCGAGACGTATGGGTGCGGCGTCGTGCAGCCAGACCTCGTCGAGGGGAAACGTGCTAAAAGGGTGGGAAGGAGGAGGTGCGAGCGCAGACCTTGCAAGGAAATCGAACGATGAGGAGAGCATGACCGAGCGGATCAAGGATGGGCTCGCTCGCTCACACTCGTGTACGAAGGCATCCTAGGGCGGTCGGGTCGCCCTGGCTCTCGTGCTGTGCTGCCCTCGCACGCGTTCTCCCGTTCGCTGATGCGGTCAAGGGCCGCTTTGCTGTGCAGGATTGGTCGAGCGCGATGCGAAGCAACAGGAGCTCTGGAGCACAGCTGAAGTCCGATGAGCAGGACGCGAAGGGGTCGAGACGTCGTGCGGGAACGAACGCGGGCAGCGGGCACACCTCGTCTCAGAGAATCATGCAGTTGTTCTTCTTCTTGGACTTGACGGGTGCCGGCGCCACTGTCGAGGCGGAGCAGCATACGGGCGACGGGGTCGCGGATGAGGTCAGAACATCTCGAACTCGCCGACAGGACGGCGAGCCGGTCCAGGCCAGAGGTCGCCTCGCTGCCGCACTCACAGACACTCCGGATGGCCTCGTCAAAAACGCCCTTGAGGCCCTTTTGCGTGAGGGCGGAGCATTCGAGGTACTTTGTCCCGCCAATGTCGCGCGCCATCTGGTTGCCCTGGGCGTATGAGATGGGCTGCATCCTTCGGTCCCGCAGTTTGGCAATCGTCTCGGGGTCCTCGCGCAGATCGAGCTTGGTGCCGACGAGGATCATGGGGATGTTGGGCGCATGGTGGCTGATCTCGGGCCACCACTTGGTGCGGACGTTTTCAAAGCTGGGCGGGCTCACCAGCGAAAAGCAGATGAGGAAGACGTCGGTTTGCGGGTACGACAGTGGCCGCAGTCGGTCGTAGTCCTCCTGCCCCGCAGTATCCCACAGACCTGCAGAGGCGGCGGGGGCGGCGAGGGCAGCAAGAGGCGAGCCAAAGCATCAGGATGAGAAGTCAGCTCCGCTCCACGGGCGTGACGATGGACGGCGGCGGCAAGAAGGGACGTCGCGGTGCCACTCACCAAGGCTGACGGGCTTGCCATCGACCATGACGTTCGCCGAGTAGTTGTCGAAGACGGTAGGGATGTACTCCCCCTGTGTGCGGCAGCGCGGCGGACAGAACGCAGGGCGAGTGCAGGGAGCTGGCGTCAGCGAGGAGGGCAGAGGGACGAGGGCGATGACCCCTCGAGCATCTGAATGGCAGGCTGTTCGGGCAGCGACCCTGGTCGACGCCAATCACTCACTGGGAACGCATTGGTGGTGTACGAGATCAGGAGGCATGTCTTGCCGACGGCGCCGTCTCCGACAACAACGCCTGCCACGGATCGAAGGAGAAGCAAGTCACATAAGTCAGCCACGAGTCGACAGAGGACGGTGAGGGCAGCCAAGCAGGCAACGGCAGCCAGCGAGGCGCTCAACGAGAAGGTCGAGGCGTGGGAGGGACATCCGGTCGAAGCTTTCCCGACGATCCCTTCAGCACGGCGTTGCTCGAAGCCATTCCGCTGTGCAGAAGCGAGGAGGAGCGTCGAACGCACATTTGATGGTCTGCATACTGAGGCGAGCAGGCGCTATCGAGCCTCGAACAAAGGTGGTGCACGAGACGAGGAGTCTGACGTCGATAGGGAGATGTCGTCGTCGAAAGGCGCGAGACGATCAAGCGGCGCAGGTATGCGAAGAGTTGGCGGTTCGCACAAACTTGAGCGAGGGAGTGAGGTGCTGGGAGCGGGGTGCGGGCTGCAGGACGAAGGTGGCGAGGGAGGCGATGGAGACATGAGAGCGGCTGCGAAGCACACCCAACACCGTCCGCACGCACCCAGCGCGGTCGAGCGGCCGGCCACACACACACACGCACGCACGCACGCACGCACTCGTGGGGAGCCAGCCAGCCCAGCCAGGCCTGGCCTGGCCACGCCAGAGAAGGGGGCGCGCTGAGTGCAAGCCAGCCAGCCAGCCAGCCAGACGGGGTGGCCAAGGCAGACGGGCGGGCGGCGGGCGGCGGGCGGCCAGGCAAATGGCCAGGGGCAGACGGGCGCCCTGCCAGGCGAACAGGGCGGGTGGGTCGCTCGGCCAGGCTGGGCAGGGCAGGCAGGGAAGGCGATCGTCGATCAGATTTTAGAATCGGCATAGCTCGATTCTCGAAATGCAAAGCATCAACCTTGTCCCTCCTCTCTCGCTCGACCCGACAAATAGACCATCCTTCTGGACGGTAGATGTGCCTTCATGCTTCCCTCAAACCCAGCTGTAGAGCTGTGCAGACTCTCGAGCGTGATCGTCTGGTAGAGCGAGTGTGCTTGCAGGATGCGACGGATGGGAAGCCAGCTATCATGGTGCGTGAGATAGACCGGTCGGCATGCGCTGATTCTAAAAGCAGATTGACAAGGACGGGCAGAGGTGTGGCGGCGGGCTGTCCAGGCAGCTGGCCTGAGGAGGTGGACGGCCAGCTAGGCAGCCAGAGCGGGCCAGAGGGCGGTCCGAGCGCCCAGATAAAGAGTGAAGCGTCCAGGGACCGCCGCCCTTCCCAACTGACCACCAACATCCGCTCTTCCCGGCCCGCCCTCGCCACCGGCGCAGCCCCTCCGCCATCGCCACTTTCGATCAACCCTTCGCCTGCGCCCAACAATGCCGGACGTGGACCCTATTCGTTGGATGTCTGTGTTCGGCATCCAAAGCCTTCTTTTCGTCGCCGCCGGGGTCGCCGTGGGCTACGCCGCCCTGCCCACGGCGATCGCCCTCGTGCTCGCCATGCCCTGGTGGGCGATTCCCGGTGGCGCTGTCCTCGTCCTCTTCGGCCGCCGTGGTGAGTCCGTCCGATACCCTCGTCATACCCCTTGCATGCCCTGACTAACGCGCTGATGCCTCTCCTTCCCTACCCCTTTCAGCATTCTGGCCCATTTTCAACGAGGTGCGCGAATACGTCCGATGGCGCGGCGACCGCGAGCGATGGCGCGGCGACCGCGAGCGCTGGCGCGCCGACCGCGACCGTATCGAGGGCCTCGAACGTGCGCTCGAGGAAGCCGTCGATCGCGAGTCCAAGACTCACCTCAGCTGGTCGAGACCAAAGCAGAGGCGGCAAGGAAGACCTCCGAACAGCGCAAACAGTACTTGGCCCTCATCCACGAGATCGAGGAACGCGAGGCCGCCATGGCTCGAGACCTCGCCACCCGCGAGGCCGCCATGTCACGCACCGCTCGCGAAGCAGAAGACCAGTACGCGGCTGCTCAGGAGACCGTGCAGAAGATCAACGCCTTGCGCATGCAAAGCTCCTTCTCGTCCTTGCGCGGTCAGATCGTCGACACGTCGCGAGCCTCGGGCTTCGACGTGAGCTTTGAACTGCAGGACGCCGACACGTCGACTCGCCCTCGGGTCACCCCCGCCAAGGCCCCAGTCGCCAAGGTCCCCGTCCGCGCCCTCCTGATTCCTGAGGCCTCCATCGCCCAGACCCGCACCGAGGCCACCACCGCCGAGGGCGCCACCGAGGCCATCATTGCCGAGTCTCCGGT